CGAGGTGTGTCCGTGGAGTCTGACGGGACGGGAGGTGTAATACGGGCTGGGGTCGGTCAGACTCTCTGCATAACCGTGGTAAATGTGAGCCTCGCCGGGCGACAGGATGTAGCGGGGGTACGGGCAGGTGGTGAGGGGCGTAGAGGGGGTGGAGGGAGCGGTCATGGGCCGGGCCAGAGGGGAAGGACTGTGGGGGCGCAGGGAACCTCCTAGTAATGGAATCTGGTCCACTGGAGTCAAGCCGCCACTGTCCCGCCTCATGGGCTCGGAGAACCAACAACCGCTGTCCTCTTTAAACTCCCCTGAAGGTCGTAAAGTTACAATCAATTCAGAAGATATCTAGTATTGGGGGAATCTCAGGGAAAGAGCGCTCACCTGACTCAGAGGCACTCTTTAAACAGTTAAGGGCAGCGCACAGCCTGGTGCAGTCCTCTGAACTGGAGCCGAGCCGTCTCATGGTTTCTTTCACCTGACTGCCGGGCATCTGCAGCAGCGCATCCAATGACAGCTTCACGTTCACTGCCTGATAAGAGACAGAATGACAGTCTAAAATACCTTTTTAAAAATGCTTCAGTAAAGATCATGGTTTCCAAAAAACAAGCAGCCCAACTGTTTTCAACATTGATAATAATAAGAAATGTTTCTTAAGCACTAAATCAGCTTATTAGAATGATTTCTGAAGGATCATGTCACACTGAAGACTGGAGTAATGATTCTGAAAATTCAGCTTTCCATTAGGCTTGCCGCGATAGACGGTGCTGACGGTGATACCGGTGTTAAGCTGCAACACCGGTTACGTCACTTGCCCACTGCGTCACCGACCCCCACCGTCGTTTTGATTTTTTTATAGTAATAAAAATCATTTAGCTCAGTAAAAGAACAGACACTACAATTAAAAACTGAACGCGGCTGCTCAATGCAGCGTGCCGAACGACAGTCGCATCACAGATCAGATTTAATTTCTCCAGTGAGGAGAGCGAGTGGAGCTGACTGACAAGAAGAGTGAAGTGAGGTGAGACAGACAAGACAGACAAGACGATGGCGGATGATTTAGTTTCGAAACGAGATGCAAAAGCGCCTGTTTGGCAATATTTTGGATTTTGAAAAGCCTGTTGACTTTTGCCGTTTATCTAAGGTGATTTTGGAAGTTTTTTTAAACATTCGTTTCTTATTTAATTGGTTCCACATTGTTTGCTGATTTTTACTTTATTTAAACTTTGTGTCATTTATTTATTTTATTTGACATCAAGGTGTATGCCGTGCCTCCAAGCTTTCTTACTCGTTTTGCTAATAAATGTTCTTTGTTTCTTATTTATTTGGTTATTTATTATACTTGTTTACTTACTTCTTTGTATACCTATTAAACTTTATGTAAGTTATTTGTTATTTTATATTAGGCGGCTTGCCCTATAGCAGGGTGTATTTTTATTTGTTTTGTTAATAAAAGTTCTATGTTTTATATATAGGCTAAAGTGAGTTTGACGTTGTATTTTGTTGTTGCATTCAAGCAATTGACGCTGAACTGCCCCTGTCCCCACGGTGATACCGGTATTGTCACATGTCGATTAACCGGTGGGAAAATTTCCTCACCGTCACAACCCTACTTTCCATCACAAGAATATATTATATTTTAAAACACATTAAAACTGAAAACAATTATTTTAAACTGTAATACTATTTCCCATTATTACTGTTTTATATTTGATCAAATAAATGCAAATTTGGTGAGCCTAAGGGACTTCTTTCAAACACATTAAAAATGTTTTTATTTTATGTTGCCTCTTCTTAGATGTTGCGAATCATGTGCCTGTGTGTCTATTCTGACATGTTTACTCTTTAAATAATAAGGAAACAGTCTTAAAGACATCAGCAAGATGCTGACATGTCCTTAACTGTCAGTTAGAGGGTTATTCATGTGATTTAGGGTCACATACAACAGGACACACTCACCTCAATCAGTGCATTCTCTTGTGAATAAAGCTCTTCAAATTCCCAGGACACATGACCTCTTAGAACTAATTAATCTGATTCCCTAATTACAAACCTGTGTGATTGATTTGAAGTGAGTAGCTTGTGACACTGGACTGATATTAATAACATATTATTCCAGAACAACTCACACAATCATATTGTAAATATGTAGTAAATTTCACAACCTGATTTTTTTTGGGAGCTTTACGTTTAATGCCATTCATACTGGTGAGCACAGGATATGATGTGGAGAAGTAAGAAAAGCAATTATAAAATGAAATGACATGACATGTATGTGACAAAGTATTGTACCACAAATATGCAACTGATTTAGCTGAGCAGAATAAAATGAGGAAAGTCCACTGCTGTCCGTGAGAATGGATGCTATGTAATGTAGGAGTAGAGCAGTGTCAGAGAGAGAGAGAGAGGCTGACTCAGCATGTTGGATAATTAGAGTTGGTGTATCTCGGGTCTGCTGGGAATGTGGCTGTGGCCAAACTGCCAAAACACAGCAGATTTTCTAATTCCTCAGCTTTACTCAAGGATATTGAACTACAAAGCATAAAACACACAAAAAAAAACATATATTCGCTCACATGCTCAAATGAACACTCAATAATATGTTTTTGTTAGTGAGATTCTAAGAAGATTTGAGTCCAGCCTCACACATTCCTAGAGGAAGATCTGACATTGTTTATTTGGGCACCTAATTAGGATCTTTTGTTGTAATATTTAATATGTAAGATGCAGACATGCACTTGCACTCTCAGACACCTGCGCTTCCGCTAGTGACGTCACTTGCGGTCTTTTTTTTTTTTTTTTTTATTCTCGCGTTGCCAATGGAGACGAGACGCTGTTGTGGTTAAATGATTAAAACTAATTTAGTACCATAATGGACAGAGTACTGCAACTCATCTGTAGGAGACAAAGACAAGACCTGCAAATCCGTGGCCACAGAACAGCAGAATATGAACGCAATGCACAAAGTCTGTCTCTCGTTCTTTTCCTCCCGTAGAAAAACATAAACACTTAACATGGCTTAATGTATTAAGGTAGTGCTTTTAAAAGATCAAATTCGATATATAGTTTATTAATTTAATGTACTACAAGGCAAGCAGATGGCCATAAACACAACACGCAAACTTTCACTTGTCCTCCCATACAGCAAAACATTGAATGTGGCATAACGGACTAACACGAGAAAGACCAAATTCAGTATAATTCTTCTTGTTGACGCAAACTATATGCAGACCAGCAGATATGAACGCGCATTAAGAAATGCATTAAGAAAGTGATATTAAAAGGACCAACGTACAGGCAAGCAGACGAGCCCAGAACGCAATGCGTTAAATTGCACGGTAAACGTTTTCCTCCCATAGAAAATCATTATAAATAAAACACGTAATGTATCTTAATGGACAAAGACAATGATATAAAAAGGCTGTAGACAGTTTATTCTATATGGGAAAATGCTTAACGCGAAACTTTGCGCCTTGCTTCACCTGCTTGTCTGTACATATTAGTTATGTTTTAACCTGGCTACTGTTGTAAAATGTTGAGAGGTTCAATTAAAAGAAATAATAAATAAATAAAATAAGATAAGATAAAAAATAAAAAAGACTGCAAGCGGAAGCGCAGGTGTCTGAGAGTGCAAGTGCATGTCTGCAGCCAGACCCTGTTGAAGATGGCAGCACTATCTTGGTTTTATGTACATAAAATTTACATAAAACATAATCAATCCAAACATTTGAGCAAAAAAAAAAATGTGTAGATTATATACAATAATATCCAATAAATATTCTTTGCGCAAAATCTATCATTTATGTTATTAATATTATAAGTAAAATTTTTAATTCATTAATTTATTAAATGTATTTATTTACTAGTAATTATAATATATATATTTTTTTTTTTTCTTTTTTTTTTTACACAAAACGTAATTTTTGTGAAATATGATCCGGACAAATAAAACCACTGTTTTGTTTTTTGTTGTTACATTCATAATTTGAATTTCTAGTAATCAAAAACATAAATGATAGGCCACATTATATAAACACACAACATACATGATCAAATAATGAATATTTACATGACAATCACAAAATCACCAGATACGAATTTAGCTGAAAATATATAAAAATATATTACTTTTATAAGGACTTATTATTATTTATTATTACATTTTTTTTACATTTTTTAATTATTATTATTTGATTTTGGTATGAAATATTATCCAGACAAATATGACCACTGATTAGCTTTCTGAGAGTCACCTTGCTACATCGATAAATTGCATTTTTGTGTACAAACAGGTGACATTATCAAAGTATTGAAAATTTACAGGAATATTCCCTCTTCTCCAAAAAACCGCAAACACACGTTACCTCTATGAGCTCAGGTCTGACGTTGATGGTGCGTAACCAGTCCCCCAGCCGTGGGTAGCTGTTCAGGGCCGGCGGCCTTTCTGTGTCTGGCACCTTCTGCTTACACTGCAGCTGTTTACAGATGTACTTCATGAGCTTGACCTGCAGGGGGCAGCAGAGCACAAAGCAGATGAGGGAGGGGCCGTCAGGGGGGCGGGGTCTGTAAGAGGCCTTTAACGCCTCTGCGGGTTTCATGTGCAACCAAAGGACAATTTCACATACAGCTCATCAGAAACTGTTACATGAACATAATAAACTTCATAAAGGACGCATGCACATAAAACAGACACGCACATATAATCAGTTCAATTCAGATTTTTTTGACGTGGGTGTGAAATCTCAAAATATTCTAGAGATCAGTACTCAACTAAACTAAACGGCTTATCTCATCTGTCATATTACTTTTATAAGGACTTATTATTATTTATTATTAAATTTTTTTTACATTTTTTAATTATTATTATTTGATTTTGGTATGAAATATTATCCAGACAAATATGACCACTGATTAGCTTTCTGAGAGTCACCTTGCTACATCGATAAATTGCATTTTTGTGTACAAACAGGTGACATTATCAAAGTATTGAAAATTTACAGGAATATTCCCTCTTCTCCAAAAAACCGCAAACACACGTTACCTCTATGAGCTCAGGTCTGACGTTGATGGTGCGTAACCAGTCCCCCAGCCGTGGGTAGCTGTTCAGGGCCGGCGGCCTTTCTGTGTCTGGCACCTTCTGCTTACACTGCAGCTGTTTACAGATGTACTTCATGAGCTTGACCTGCAGGGGGCAGCAGAGCACAAAGCAGATGAGGGAGGGGCCGTCAGGGGGGCGGGGTCTGTAAGAGGCCTTTAACGCCTCTGCGGGTTTCATGTGCAACCAAAGGACAATTTCACATACAGCTCATCAGAAACTGTTACATGAACATAATAAACTTCACAAAGGACGCATGCACATAAAACAGACACGCACATATAATCAGTTCAATTCTGATTTTTTTGACATGGGTGTGAAATCTCAAAATATTCTAGAGATCAGTACTCAACTAAACTAAACGGCTTATCTCATCTGTCAAAACATTTTCTTCTATAACATGTTATTAAAAGACTATATTATTATTGCTTTATAACCCCTTTTCCTCATTTATTGTATGTATTAGTGTACTTTATAGTGTTTGTTTCTTGTTTATAAATTAATATCCTCTCCACAGGTACTTATGTATGCTTGCATATATACTCATGTATTTTCATTTCATAGATATATGTACGCACATTCACACGAGCACACACATATGCATGCATGCATATTACACATACGCACTGACATATTTAACATTTACACGCTATTCACCTATCTTTGGTTTTCGATATTTCTTGTTGTTTCTTTCTCTAGATATTTCTTGTTCGATATACTGTTTGTATTCATTTGATGTAGCCATATGCGTTTCTGTATTTTATTTTATTTCTCCATAATTTTGTGTAAATAAATGTTGTTTAGGTGGAGTGGAATTGTTTCGTTTTAGATTTTTTTATTGTATATAAATAAATAAATAAATATATATATAAAAAAACATGCATTGTTTTTTTCAGGATAGCAGTGTCGTTCCGGTACATAAATGAATCAGACACAACTGTCAAAATTAACACCGATCCAAAACTTTGCATTACTGCAGTGTCTCTCATCAGCCAGATTTCAGCATCAGTCGCCATTAAATCGCAGCACCTGCAAGTCTGATAAATAACACAGCATCAGAGCACACGCAGTTTGAAATCTAACTGGATTTTCTCTCCCTCTCTCTTTTTTGTGCTCCCCTTCAGCAAACAGGGCTGTCAGCTATAAATAACTGTTATTATATGGAAGGGAGCTGCAGCCCTCCTCATGGGGGCAACTGCACTGCTGGCATGGCAACCGAATGTCATCGGAACACTGCGCTGACGGTGGGAGCGTTCTGACATCACAGCTCCACGAGATGCACAGTTCACACTGAGGCTAAGGCGGCAGTCCGTCTCGTCGAACGCAGCCGTCGCTGTCTACTTCCAGCTGTACACGTCGCCATATGCGCTGGGCTGCAGGGTTTTTCCCCATTCTGGCCTGTTCTGGATAATAAACACACTCCCAAATCTTTCACAAACAAACCACACTGGCTTATGCAGGAGGAATTTTCCAGCTCGGTGCAGAATGCTGACCCACCTCAAATTCACCAATACACTCAAAAAAACCACACCTATTCCCTCGTTCTGCCTATATCCAGCTTCCTGGATGGGCCGCACGGACACCTCAGAAGAACAGCAGTGCTGATGACGCAGCGAGACAGAAAGAAGAGAAGGGGGGGAAACAGTGGGACAGAGAGAGAGAACAAGGGGGTAGGGTGAGAGGAGGGCTCACCTGCTGTGACAGTTCAGGTCAGCGGCTCACTGACGCACAGAGGCCCGTTACCATGAGGCCAACGGCCATAAAACGAGTCATCCTTTCACACTTCTCCCTCCGCCACCCCCCATCCCACTGCGGCCGCCTGCAATCACTGCTTTAATGAGAACAGCATGCTTATACATGCGTTAAACAGCAGCGGCCAGACACACTTCATCCCTCTATCATCATTACCAGACACACCAACATATACATACAGCATATATAAATTGATCCCTGTATAAGCAAACTGATGTGTATATGCTTATCTGATATTTTACTTAATACTTATCTGTATATACTTAATTGATTTTATACATTTAATCGGACATACATTATATATGCGAAATGACCCACACATACCAAAACTAATTTTTATACTCATACTGATCCCTGCATACTCAAACATATTCTCTCACTCACTGATCACAAAAAAGTAATCTCAAACTTAGTCAACCGGATCTTTATATATTCAAAATCATGCCCACATAAAACGATCCCTAAATATGAAAACTGCTCTTTATTTACTGATGATGTCCACATACTTAAACTGATCCCTTGCATACTCAGACTGATCACTACATACTCAAACTGATCTTTATATACATAAAATGATGCCTACATATTTAAACTGATCCCTTGCATACTTAGACCGATCACTAAATACTCAAACCAATCATTATATATCTAAAATGATACCTACATTCTTAAATTGATCCCCTGCATAGTCAGACTGATCACTATATACTCAAACTGATCCTTATGTACTTAAAATGATGCCCACATACTTAAATTGATCCCTTGTATACTCAGACTGATCAATAAATACCTAAACCAATCAATTTGTACTTAAAATGACGTATACTCAGTCTGATCCCTTGCATACTCAAACTGATTTCTATATACTTCAAGTCCACATACTTGAACTGTATACTCAGACTGATCACTAAATACTCAAACGAATCATTATATACTTAAAATAATGCCTACATACTTAAATTGATCTCTGCATACTCAGACTGATCACTAAAAACTCAAGCCAATCAATATATACTTAAAATGATGGCTATATTCTTAAACTGATTCCTGTATACTCAGTGATCCATTGCATACTTAAACTGATCTCTATATACTTAAAATCAAGTCTACATACTTGAACTGATCCCTGTATTCTCAGGCTGATCACTAAATACTCAAACTAATCATTTTATACTTAAAATGATGCCTACATACTTATACTAATCCCTAGCATACACAAACGAATCACTATATACTCAAACTGGTCCTTAGATACTTAAAATGGGCCCCACATAATCAAACTGATCCCAAAAACTCACATATTTAAACTAATACTGTATATTAAATATTCAAACGGATTCTTACATACTAAAATGAACTCTGTAATTAAACGTAATCAAACATAAGTCCACACCACTCATAATGATCCATACATACTCAAACAGATCCCTACTTATATAAGTCCCTCATATATTCAAAATGATACATACATTATCAAATCGTTACCCGTTATTTCAAATGATCCCTACATTCTCAAACTGATCCTTGCATACTAAAACTACACTCAATTTGTGCTCTGTTTAAAGGCCTTTGTGTTAATGCAATGATCAGATCTTTGTACTGGGGAATTTCTGGCTGAAAGACCTCAGTCTTTATCTCCGTTACGTACCCGCACACACGGCCCTGAGAGATATCAGTACCTCAACAGGTGAATCAGCGCTTCAATGACAACCTCTCAAGAGCCATCAGCTTACAAACTCACTCCCTTTTGTACAGATTCTCGCACACGCATATTCCAGTAAAAAAGAAAAAGGCCTTGAGCACACTGTCGTGGCAGAAGCCAACAAAGGACCCACACACTGCAGACGAGCATCTCGTAGCAGACAGCAGAACAAACACCAGTCGGGGTCAGGGGTCACACGCGTAGGAGGACAGGGAACCGAAAGCCCTTGTGGGAGGTCAGAGCCAATAAACAAGCAATTAAAGCTCTGTTGCTAACAGCTAAATGCTAATTACACCGAGGACAGTGAGCACTCCACTCAATAAAGCTCAACTGCCATTCAAAAGCTTTTATCCATCGCAGTCAATATGAAAATTTGTGTCAAGTGCTTGAGGTCTGAGTTTTTAACAGCGCTTAGATTTCAGCATTAACAAAAAAGTCTCACAACTGTTCAACAGCACAAGGTCTCATCCGATGCTCACATACTGCACACTACACACAGGAGAAACCTGAACCATTTCCAGCTAAAAATCTCTATTTTATAGCCATTATCAAGGTGCTATACAGTTTCTGAATATAGATATTGGGCATACTAGTACTTACAACTAGTACTACGCCACTGTTCCACAAGATGTAGCAACTGGTATTTTAGTGCAGATTCTTGTATGCTAACATTGGGGAAACATATCAACGTTCCTTTAACATTAGGACAAGGTTCCTGGTTATTATTTATTTATTTTTATAGAAACTAAACATGTACAGAACATGTTTACATTAATTTGTAATGGCTATTTTTTATCCAGACAAATTTACTTTTGGATTTTAAGCATTAACTACACAGAGCCGTTGTTCTCTGACAAGCTGCGCAAAAAGTTTTATTTTCATTTAATCAAAGAAGCTATATATATTTATTTATTTATTTATATATATATATTAAAAAATATAGCTTTATTTAGCAAGGATGCATTCAATTGATCTAAAGTGACAGTAAAGACATTTATAATATTGTAAAGAGTTTCTATTTCATATAAATGCTGTTCTTTTGAACTTTCTATTCATCAAAAAATTAAATATAATTAAATAATTATATATATTAGGGCTGTGTATTGGCAAGAATCTGGCGATATGATACGTATCACGATACAGGGGTTGAGATACGATATGTTGCGATAGATGCATTCAATTGATCTAAAGTGACAGTAAAGACATTTATAATATTATAAAGAGTTTCTATTTCATATAAATCCTGTTCTTTTGAACTTTCTATTCATCAAAAAATTAAATATAATTAAATAATTATATATATTAGGGCTGTGTATTGGCAAGAATCTGGCGATATGATACGTATCACGATACAGGGGTTGAGATACGATATGTTGCGATATATTGCGATACTGTAAGCAAGGCGATATATTGGGATATTTCTTATTTTAGGAATAAGATATAGTTTTAGGAAAGCTGTCATTAAGAACACACCACCATATGCAAACCTTAGCAATAAATAAATAAATAAAAATTATTTAACCAGAACACATTTAACATTCAACGTTATTGAACCACTTTTTGTGCAGTACGAGTCAAGGGGGGAAAATGAAAGGATCCTTTAGTTAAATGTATATATCATGCATGATTAATC